GCAGAACAAATAAGTAAATTGTGTAGGTTCATAGATGATAAATGTGCAATAAAAAAAGTAGAGCAGAGTAGGAAGGATCTCGTATGTATTTGGGGACAAGGCAGGTTGCAATATCACAGAGTGGTCAGGGCAGGCCTGACAGAGATGGAGACATTTATGCAGGAGTTGATAGAAGTGAGGGAGTTAGGAAGGTGGATAAATGGGACAAAAGCACATTTTTGGAAGAAGGGGCTGCCTGATCAAAGATCCCAAGAATGAAGCATGCCTGGAGAGCTCAGGGGCAGAAAGGAGCCCAGAGTTACCAGGATGTTAGGAGCACAGGAAGATCTAATAGGAGTTAAAATCAGAGAGCTAGCTGATGGGAGGTCAGATCACATAAGGCTTTTTAGGATATTTTAAAGGCTTGGGCTTTTACTCTGAGATTAGAAGCCCCTGCAGAGTTTTGAACAGAATGACATGATCATTCCAGTTGCTGTGTTGAGAATAGACTGGGAGAGGGCAGAGTAGACATAGAAACAGGAGACCATTTAGAAGGCACTGTAGTGATCCAGGACGAGGATGATAGCAGCAGCTTGGACCAGAGAGGTAGCAGGTGGAGAGTGATAAGTGGTTGGATCTGGGGTATATTTTGAAGGTAGAATCACCAATAAGTATGTGTGTGTATGTACACACACACTCACACAGACACACTATATCTATCTATCTAAGGAGAGAGGGAGGGGGAAGGGCAGAGATTGAGAGAAATTAGGAATGACTTCAAGTTTTTTTTTTTTTTTTAAACAACTGAAGGATGGGCTTGCTAACAAGAGGGGAAAGGCTGTGGCTAAAACAGATTCAGGGAAAAGATCAGGAGTCTACTTTGGGAGATAATGAGTTTGAGATATTAATTAGATATCCAAAGGGGATACTGAGTAGGCAATTGGGTACTCTGGAATTTGGGAGGGATTTGGGGCTGGAGTTATAAAACTGGCAATCATTAGCATAGAGATGGTATTTCAAGCCATGAGAATAAATGAGATCATTAAGGGAGTGAAACTTGATCAAGAAGAGAACCAAGGAATGAGCCCTGGGACACTCCAGCATTGGAGGTTGTGTTTAAGAAGATGCTGCTGTACAGAAGACTGAGAAGGACAGACCAATGTTATAAAAGAAAAGCATGAGGGTGTGCGGAGTGCTGGAAGCCAAGTAAAGAAAGTGCAATGAGGAACACAGACCTGCTGATTGTGTCAAATATTGTAGGGAGGTAAGATCAGATTAGGGCTGAAAACTGACCTTTGGCTTTGCCTCCTTGGAGGTCAATAGTGACCTTGACAAAAGCAGTTTCATTGAAGTGGTGAGGACAACCATCTTCTAATGGGTATAAGAGAAAACTGGACAAGTAGAGACAACCATTTTGATGAGTTTTGCTGCAAAAAGGAGCAGGGCAATGGGTCAGCATTTGACAAAAGAGGGGTAAATGAGAAATTTGTTATAATGGGAGAAATGACAATGGGATTGTATGCTGAAGATAATTATCCAGTAGAAAGTACAGAAATGATGTATGTGAGTAGAAAAGAATTCCAGTAGTCATGTCTGTGAGTAGGTCAGAGGGGAAGGGACCAAGTGTACATGTCGAGAGACTGATATTAGGTAGGAATAAGCAGAACCGCTCACTTGTGGGATGCAGTAGTGAACGTCTGTGGAGGTTCTGTTTTGGCTGATTCTAATTCCTAAGTGAAGTAGGAAACAAAGTCATCAGCAGAGCAGGAGGATTCGGGGAGAAAGTGTTGAGGTTTCAGCGGAGACAAGGGTGCATAACCACTGTCTAGCAGAAAGGGACAAGGAATGGAAAAGGAACATACAGCGTAATTGCCCAGCAGCCCGAAGGACTTCGTTGACTCGCATGATCATGTGTTTCAAATAAGATCATATCAGCTCATATCAGGCACTCAAATATTTTCAATGAATAAATGTACAGACTTTTACGTATTTATATAGATATGTTGATAAATATACAAATTACTTAAATTCCTTTTTTATTCACACAGAGCAAAACATTGAATAAGAAAGGGTTTAAAATTTTTTCAGTAATTTGAATGGCAGGGATTTTAAAAAGTCTCCTATTTGATTCTCTTTATAAAGAATGTGGTGTAAGGCCTTGGGTTGTACCTACTTTGCAGGTGGAAATCTGGAAATCTGATTGCTTTCCCAGGTGACGGCGACTATGAAGGTAAGGATTAGAAGTAAGAAAAATATTTAATGTGCAAAGATAAGAATTTTTGATCAAATCTCAGAGTTTGAAATCTTGGAATTCAGGGATGATGAAGTTTAAAACATGACTATGCCTCTGGTGGCAGAAATCCAGTGACAATGGATTCACAGGTGCTGAAGAGGGGAAAACTATAAAGAAGTTTCTTCCAACAATTGGACTTAAGAATTTTAGGCATTTATGTCTTGTTTTTCTGACAGAAAATAATATAGCATTTGGCTGGAGATTACTAATTCCCTCAATAAATAGAATCGTGAGTGGTTATGTATTTATACATATCTAATTTAAAATTTAAAAGTGTGTAACAGATATACTTAGGTCTTCTTAAATTAATGAGATTTATCTATTGGCTTGTCTTTCTTGAAAAATACATTAAAGTATTGGTTTTAACTGTAGGTGCACAAAACAAAATGTGAGCATATGATTTTAAAAAATTTTTTTATTATATCAGTATTCCATTTTATTATGATCACCTTGATTCTGATGTGCTTTTTTCAAGTCCTGGTTTATTTCCTTACAGAAATCTTAATCTCCTTCTGATAAAATGATGTAACATATATAAAGAAACTGGTACATAGTAAACATAATAGACACACATTAATTCCTTGCTCTTACTGCCCCTAAAATTTCTTACATGCGTGAGAGAGAGTGAGACAGAGATACAGAGAGAAAAAGAAAGAGTTTTCCAAAACAAACTAGCAACCCAGGAAGACTGAAAACCATACAGTCCTGAGAATCAGTGGTTCTCAAATTCAGGGAATGAGGATTGACTAGGCATAAGTATTTGTGAAAAAGCTCCAGAGGTGACTCTGATTCTTTTTTTAAAAAATGTTTACTTGTTTATTAATATTACTATTTTTTTTTTGCATTCTATGATGTTGTTGTGGAGCTGTTGTGGGGGATGGGGAGAGGCAAAGGGGAAAGAAATAGGGTGGGAAAAGGAGGAAGGCAGAGGGGTGCGGTTGAGGCTTATGGTACCCACCTCATTCCTGCAGGGGAGACCAGGGGGCTCCCAGCGGTGGCTTGGTCCTTGCTGGGCTGGGTGCAGAGGTAAGAGGAGTGTGGCTGAAGCCCTCACCCCCCTACTGCTGCAGCATGGGAGCCCAGGACACTACCTGTGGTGGTTTGGTGGTCATTGTTGGGGTGCTTGTGGGTTTCAGGGGCACATGGCCAAGGCCCTTTGTCCCCCACTGCCCCAGCTCAGGAGAGCCCGGGGCACTTCCTGCAGCAGCTTGGTTGTCATCGCTGGGCTGGTGTGGGTGTCAGGGTGGTGTCGCTGAGGCCCTCAGACTCCCACTGCCCCAGCTCAGGAGAGCCCAGGGAGTTTCCTGTGGCAACTCAGTGGTCGTCACTGGCTGGATGCAGGTGTTGGTGGGGCGTGGCTGAGGCCCTCGGCCCCCACACTTGGGACTGGTTGTGGGTGTTGGGGGCATGGCTGAGGCCCCTAGCCCTCCCTGCTCTTTGTCTTGGTAGCCCACAGGACTTCTAGGTTTTATAGGTGTTCTTTGGTGATGAGAGACCTTTACTAGTTAATATCAAACTTTGTCTCCAGTCTGTGGGTGTTTCGTTTTTTCTTTCAGTTCTCTGTTGGATTATTTGCTGTTCCCAACACTTAAACTCTGCACTGGAACTAATTTGCTGTCCTTTGCTTATTTCTAAAATGGGGGAACTTCCTGTGAGGACCAGCACTTGAGCTTTGTGTTTGAGCTAAATTGGTGCTTTGCTGCTGGCTCCCTGGGGAAGGCTTTTTGTACAGCTCAGGGTTTAATGGTTGACTCTATGGGTGCTTCCAGAACTCATGAGATCCAATACACCTGTGTTGTGTGGAAACTCTGGTCTGGGCCTGAGTCTTTTCATCAAACCACACCTCATGCGATTCTATATTCCTGACCAGTGTCCTCTGAGTGGTCTTGCATTGATTGGGGGACAAATCAGCTGTACTTGCTGTGCCTCAGTGTTCCCCCAGTGGCTCATCTCCCTCACCACCAGTGTTCAAGATACTTCCCATGGGGCAGGCTATGTGCTGTTCCCTCGTGGTGACTCACTGGCCTCTGAGTAGCTCCTTCAGTTGTTGTGGCTCCTCATTCCTATGTGGGTCTACAGGAACCTTATTAATAATTTTGCTGGTCTGGAGGCCACCAAGGCCCTCTTCTCCCCTGCCACCTCCAAGCAGCTCCATCTAAAGGGCACAGCTGTGGCTGCCAGCTCCTGCTCTGCACACTCAGCAGCTCCAGCCTTGAAGTGGCTGGGGCTTGAAATGGTCAGGTCAGAGCAGTTCTTTCTTTTTCTCTTCGTGGCTTCTCCCCCTTCATGAACTCCGTAGGTCTCTCCTCCTTTTCCCCTGAGCTCTAGCGGCCCCAGGTTGGCTGTTGCTGCTTTTTAGTAGTTGTAAATCGGTTGATTTGTTGGAGAGAGTGACACTGGGGACTGTCTATTCCGCCATCTTGACAGGAAGCCTCTGAGTGTATGCTTGATTTAAAAGATGTATTAAAATTAAATGTTCTTTTATAATTTTACATATTGGAATTTTATGCAATCAGCACTCCATTTAAGGAGAAAAGATTCTAAGAAAGAAATGAGACACACATAAAAATAAATGACTACAAAAGACCGATACTAATTTCAGTCTTGTAGTCCTTAATACCCTATGCTATCTTTGACAACAAAAATGTCCTGCTTATGTGATAGAGAGGCTTAGATGTGAGAAAAAATACAAGCAGTTAATGAATAATGCATATGTTCACAGCAATGGTCAAATTACACTGTTTCCTAGTGGGTACCATTTTTCTTCATTGAGTGGGACACTACAGAGTTGGATGTTAATTGCTCCCACAAATATGGTTTTGCTCTTCACAATAAGCATTAAGACATGTCCTTGGAGTTCTGTGACTTCATTGTATACCACCTAAAGAGAGAGAGAATAATGAAAATACAAATCAGATATGCATCTTTCTTTTGAATGTTGCTTTTAATGAAAAATATTTAGATGCTAATATCTTGTACTCTGGAATTGATAAGTTAAGATTAAAATTTTTCCATTCTAGCTCTAATTCTAAAAAGATAAAGGTTCTACTACATGGTGGGGTTTAATGACAAACTATTTCTCTAAGAATCTTGGATTTTGTGGATTCCATGAAATTTAGTAAGACTGTAAATTATTCTCTAGGAAGAAATTTCAACACCTCACCTTTTAACCATCCTTGAATTTATTGTGCAACATTGGAACATGAACACCATCGTTCTGTATTGTAGGCTAATGAGGAAAGAGACCAATTTCTATGATTTCCTTGTGCTCTTTAAATGCAATACAGCAATATTTCCTTGTATATATGAATTGACTCCATAGTTCCTTCTATTTATTTAAAATTGTTTAATTTTTAATTATGAAAATGCATGTTCATTAAATAAAACATGTATGAAACAAAAAAGGAAGGAAGAATCTAAATTTCCACCATTGGGAGATAATTACAGTTAACATTTTGGTGTTCATTTTGTTTTCTATATATAATCACTTTTTAAGAATCTGGGCTGTAATTATGTTGTATATACAGTTTTGTGTCTTGTTCTTTTTCATGTGACTGTTTTTTAAAAAGGGTTCTGTTCAACGGTGTTTTATAATATTCAAGAAGTAAGTTCCAGGCTTTACCATTGGGGGCCTGGAGTGGTAAAGAGACTTTAAAAGTGTTGTACTTCAAAGCAATTAGTTATCTCCATGAAAGGAGGGGAACACTGGGTGTAAATCTGACATGGTTGCCTGGGAAACATTGCAGAACACATTTAGGAGTTTCATATGCTGCTGCAAACTTGTTTGCTTTGTACAGCCAAGTTACAAAGACAGAAAGAAACATCCTCAATGTATGCACAAAAAAAAAAAAAAAAAAAAAAAAAAAAAAAAGCAGAGGAGCCGACTTGAGCCCTCTGAGTTAAATGGAGGCCTCCTCCATGTATGTGGATTTGGGTTCTGGTCCTTCGCATGGCATGGGCCCACCATCTGTGAACCCATTAAGTTATCAATGAAATTCAATTCATGATCGATCTGTTAGCTGCTCTGATCAATGATTTACTTATCATGTAAATAATAATTCAATCAGGGGATACGATATGCCATGTAATGTGTTGATCCAGTCTACCATGCTCCTTGTGTCTGCACCTTCTCCACCAGAATCTTACTCACAGTCCACACAGGAGATTACCTTTTAGTTTTCTAGTATTGCTTATTCAAATGATTCCATTTCATGTATTGAGTTCTCCTGGGATACTAAATAATTTTAATGACTGTCTTTGAAATCACAAACTCCCACCACTGTAATTCATGCTCTTTAACTACCACTGGATGGCCAGTGCTGCCTGGAAATCCTTCCAGGACTTGAGAGTAAGCTCCTTTTCCTCTTCTCTATGGTGGCTACTTTGAACTGTCTGAACTGTCCCCATTTTTCTTTCTATGACACTTTCAGTTTATGAATTCCTATCTTACAGAGGAAACCGATAAAAGGACCAACAATGTGTTACTATATATGAAGTAGAGAAATGGAATAATTCTAAGCATTAGGCCTTTGAAAAGTCTGGCTTAGGGACTTTGTGAACTGTATAAATATGCTCTAAAAATGTAAATTTTTAAGAAACATATTAATAATTTATATTCACATGAATCTGTTGTCAACTGTGTTTTCTCATTTGTATAATGGTGATAATACTACTATTTAGCATTGTGGGGAAGAATAAATGAGAAAATGAACATAAGCCTTACTACAAAGGTTGGCACATATTAAACTCTAGTAAGTTGTAGCTGAATAAGATACACAAAAAGGAAGAGTAATTTCTTGACATTTTGTATCAGTTGACTGAAGAAAATCCTTTCAGAAAGAATTGAGTCTCCCAGGTATTTAGCAAGCTAAAAGTCTTAAGAAATAACTTTAGGAATTAATTGCCTTCCTGGTTAAAATACATACATTTGAACTTCCAAAGTTTTTATCACTTAATGGATTTTTTCCCCTGTGCTTCCTTATGCAAAAGTTATTTTGTTAAACTGACCGAAGTTTTCTAAACGTGTAATCATTGTACATCATAGGTGACATATAGCTATTTTAATTGCTTTACCACATTCTTGATGTTGTTAAAGAAAAGCACTTTTAAAAAATTTTTTTACTGTGCAATAAATAATTAGTGAGTAATGCTAAAGGGCACAGATGATTATGTTCTTTGAGACTTTTTCACCAAATGATTTAGTGTGTATTCTGCCTCCACATAAACAGAACCCGAAATGAACAGCTCTTTCAATTTCACTTTACAATAAATTTGCCCACAGGTGTAAGCCAAGACTTCACTACCTTCTTACAAGTACTGAATTTGTGGGTTTGAAATTATTATATTAAATAGAAAGCATTTGAAGTAATCAATATGTATTAACTTATATAGAAGCATTCACTGTACATTATTTGACATGAGGGTCTAGTAAATAAT